ATCAACCAGGTGAGGGGAACGTGGAGAGAGGAAGAGTCAGGGTCAAACCCTACAAGGTGTTTGGGCTGGAGCTGGAGCCAGTGTCTCCTGATGGTCTGTTGCAGCTGGACGAGGGGCCGATGGGCGAGCCAGAGGGAACCTTTGTGGACTACCAGACCACGATGGTGAAGACAGCCAAGGCCATTGCAGTGACTGTGCAGGAAATGGTGGGTGAAAGCAAGCCTGTCACTGCAGAAAGCGCTGTCTGCCACCCAGGCAGGCAACTGCCCTCCTTGCTTGCCTGTCCTTTTTAGGGCCCCTCCAACTCCTGCTCTTCTGTTGGCAGGTCACCAAATCCACCACCAACCCGGACGAGCTGGGCATACTGGCCAACCAGCTCACCAACGACTATGGGCAGCTGGCACAAGAGGCCAAGCCGGCTGCACTTACCGCTGAGAACGAGGAGGTGCGAGCGTGGGGGGCAGTGCTGGAGTGTGCCGTGGGGCAGAGCCACGTCTGCTGGGGCATGAGAGCAGAGTACAGGGACACTCAAGCCTTCCATCAGAGTTGGGGACAGGCAGCATTCACACCCCCCCTGCAGGATGGTGTGGAAACATGGAGCAAAGCTATGTTTCCTTTTTCCTCTTCCTGAGTTGGAGGATTGGGAGAGAGGAGCTGGAGCGGGGTGGCTGGTGTTTCCCAGCAGGTATCATGGATGCGGGGCTTGGTTCCCTGCTGGCTCTCTCACGCACACATTCCTCTCCAGATCGGCTCCCACATCAAGCGCAGGGTGCAGGAGCTGGGTCACAGCTGTGCTGCCCTGGTTACCAAGGCTGGAGCCCTACAGTGCAGCCCCAGTGATGCCTACACCAAGAAGGAGCTGATAGAGAGTGCACGCAAGGTTTCTGAGAAGGTGAGTGGCCCAGAGAGAGGCCCAAGGGCGTAGCGAGGTGGGAGCGATGCTGGATTGAGCAAGAGCCTCTACGCCGGGTTCCCCATTAGTCCCGTTGGGCTCTGCTGGCTCTCTCAGCTGTGCTCAACCTGCCCAGCTGGTGGGGTGGACGATGGAGCCTCCTCTCCAAGCACCATAACAGCAGCTGATGCTGTGATGGGTGTGATGTCCAACATGCTGATGATGCCCTGCAAGGGGAGACTGATCTATGCACTGGTGGCAGCCCAGGGCTCTCCATCAGCTCTTGCGGTGGTGGGCATAGCGTTTGCTGCATCTCCAGACAAACCTGCAGCTCATGCTGGGTGATCGATCTCCCCTTCATTTTCTGCTGATGTGGTGGAAATCTTCCTGTCCATCAGTCAATCTAAAGAACATGCTTCTTGATAACACATGAAAACATGGCTAAAAACTCCAGTCAGTAAGGCAGTGATAGAGCAGCAAGGCTTGTAAGCAAGAGTACAAATGCAAAACACCTGTTCATAGTGCCTGGCATGTGCCTGCATGCTCAGGACTTCTTTGCAGGTCCTTGCTCTCCAAGACTGTTTTCCATCAGGAAACTTGTTCTCCTATGAGTGCTTGCCTGAGTACAGAAATTGAGGTTAGCAGCTAAAGAAGATGTTCTGAACCCCATGATGCTAACCTAACTCGTTTGGAAACTAGCAGAGTCCACTGTCTCCTGGACCCCCAAACACGATAGGTACAGGGTAAAAATAAATAAATCGAAGCTAAGAAGGTGTGTCCAGACCATGCAATTCCCAATTCCCCTCCTTGGTGTGAAGCAGCTCCACCCTGAGAGATGTCAGCGGTGGTGTGTGGTGGGGGTTGCCTGAACCTGCTCTGCTCCCTAGTCACCCTACTCGTACCCTGCAGGTGTCTCATGTGCTGGCAGCCCTGCAGGCTGGGAACCGCGGGACACAAGCCTGCATCACGGCAGCCAGTGCTGGCTCTGGCATCATTGCTGACCTCGACACCACCATCATGTTCGCCACCGCAGGAACCCTCAACCGGGAGAACTCTGAGACCTTCGCTGACCACAGGTACCTGGGCACCTTGTCTGGCCTTCTGCTTATCCAGAGGTGGGGGTCAGACTCTGTCCCCTGGTCTCCTGTCTTTCTGAGCTGTGGACCAGCTCTGAGGAGAGCTGCAAGTTCAGGGCACACTACTCTGTTTCCCCTCCAGCTTGTACATACAGAAGGCAGGGTCCTCAGCCTCTCTACACCCCAAGGACCACATGTGCATGTCGAGGGCTGTGTCCTCTCTGACTCCTTTCTTCTCCCCAGGGAGGGCATCTTGAAGACAGCCAAGGCACTGGTGGAGGACACCAAGGTGCTGGTGCAGAACGCCACGGCCAGCCAGGAGAAGCTAGCCCAGGCTGCCCAGTCCTCCGTGTCCACCATCACCCGCCTGGCAGAGGTGGTGAAACTGGGTGCCGCCAGCTTGGGATCTGAAGACCCAGAGACTCAGGTGGGTTGGGAGGTGTGGGGTGAATGGAGGCTGCTCGTAGCTTGCTTGAAGGGGCTGAGGGTTGAAGGTGGTGTGTGGTGCTCTAGGCTGGACTCTGCGTGTCGTGGAGAGGGCTGGCTGGGCTTTGGCTCATGCTGGCTGCACTGTATACTGTATGCACCTATTCTGTGTGTCCTGAGGTGCCCAAATTTCCCATTGCTGGACCACATTCAGCCCCAGCCTGAGTGTGACTGTAGCCAAGCCATTGTCCTGGTCTTGCTCTCCCCAGGTAGTTCTGATCAATGCTGTGAAGGATGTTGCCAAGGCACTTGGGGATCTGATTGGTGCCACTAAGGCAGCTGCTGGCAAAGCTGGGGATGACCCTG